AACCCCGCTCCTAAAGGGCGACGTTGAATTCTGTGACCAAGAAATCGATGTAGTCCTTTTCCTTCAGCTTAAAGGCCTCAGCGATGATCCGGGCGGCTTCCCGGTGCTCTTTTCCTCGGAGTCCTGTGCCGTTCACCTCCAAAATGACGTGTCCCACCTTCAGCTTCCCGCAGTTGTGTGCCGAGCCCCCCCGCTGCAGGAGAGAGAGGGGTCAGCTCATGCTCCCACCGCTCCCTGCATCAAAAAAACCTGGGAGATATTTCATATCCGACATGATGGATGTGAAATGTTGTTTCACTTTTTGGAAAGAGGGGATGAATTTGGCTTCCCCCCTGCTTGCTCCTGGAGCGTGATGCCAGCTGGGATGGCCAAGAATAACCACGGCAGAGACGGCTCTGCTTTTTTTTGCTGTAAATAACTTGAATTTTGCCCCAAGTAAACAGCAAACACGAAGACAGCTCCAGAGGGCTCGGCTCCCTGGCTCCCATCCACCATTCCCCCTCCTCAATCCTCTGTCTGGCAGTTTCCAGACATCTGGAGACAGCAGCCAAGCTTTCAGGGCTGCCCTGATCCCCTCGGAGATGTCTGGAGCAAACAGCTGGCTCCCAGGAGATGTGTTCATGGATGGGATCATCCACAGGACACAGACATGGTCCTCAGCAGAACGGTGCCTGGGGAGGTGTAAGGGGGGACAAACCCCCAAACTCCCCCTGGCCATGGCTCAAGGGCTCTCCCCAGCCTGCCCAGGGGGGAGAGGGATGGGATGTGCACGGAGCTGTCCCTACCTGGATGGTGACGATGCGGGGCAGCGGCTGCCGCGTGTTCGCGCCGCCCTCGATGGCGATGCCCAAGGTGGGAGCGCTCTTGGACACCCGGATCAGACACGACGTGGGCTCCAGGAGCCCTGGCTGTGGGGACAGATGGCAGCACTGCCGAGGGGACCTGGACACCGTGTGCCAGCCGTGCTCCCTCGGCCAGGGCAGGCAGGGACACTCTGGCTGCCACCACAGAGGGACAGACATGGACTGCAGTTGCTTTCTGACTCCTGACATGTAAAATCCCAGCTCTGGACAGGTCTGGAAGGGTTTGGGAAGGAGCAGAGCAGCTCTCTACCTGCCTGCCTGTGTCCCTCAGCCTCACCACCATCAGGAACCCTCTAAATTATGTCTGATACCTGCTGCCACCTTCCCTTTTGACAGGTGACTTCACTCATATGGCTCGTGGACACCCCTTAAGAGCCAGGAATTCTCCCATGTCCCAGGCAGCTGCTTGCTGGAGCTGGGAGGGATGGGATTTACCCAGGACAGAGCGAATCAGTGCCCCTCTCATCCACTCCTGAGCCCTCTCCCCACAGCTCACCCCCAGAGAGCTGATTGCCTCAGCAGAGAGGCTGAACACCCCAGCTAAGCACGGGTGGGCAGAGGAACGGGCTGGCCAAGGCAGTGGGGCACAGCCCCGGGTGCCCCCTCCCACACAGAGCAGCACCCCGGGCCCCCCTCACCGGCTTGGAGGCCCCTTCTGCCGCCCCCTCGCTCCTCGTGGCCTCCTTGAGGCTCCGGCTTTTCCCGGGGCCCGGCTGCCGGCTCTTGTCCTTGCCGCTCGTCTCGACCTCCCCGATGTCCACCCCGCTGTCCTCGCTGAGGGTCTGCCCGCTGTCCGACAGCTGGGAGAGCGTGGAGGCTGGGGAGAGACGCGGCGTTAGCGGCTGGGCAGCACCGGGCCGGGCTGGCCGAGCGCCCACGGGCCACGGAGCGAGGGCAGCTCCCGCTCCCAGGGCTGGGCAGCTTCCCTGGGATTCACACCGGGGCTGCAGAGCAACCATCCCACCAGGGCCCTTCAGAACCATGGAATTGCTCAGCTGGGAAAAGCCCTCCAAGATTGTCGAGTCCAACCACAAGACCGGCACTGCCGAGGCCACTTCTAAAGCACACAACTGTAAATTCTTTCAGGGACAGGATCTCCACCAGGGCTCTGGGCAGCCTCTCCCAATGCCTGACTCTCTCTCAGCGAGGAGATTTCACCAATATCCAACCTGGAGCTCCTGGACACAGCTCGAGGCCATTTCCTCTTGTCCTGTCCCTGTTTCCTGGGAGGAGAGATTGACCCCAGCCTCACCGCACCCCCTGTCACAAGAGCAGAGCTGTGCACAGGAGCATCAAGTGGCCTCAGCCTCTGCTCTGGAACCCAGCCCAGATCCCAAACTGGGACGGAGGGAGAGAGTGATGGATTCAGGGATCCTGCTGGAGGTCAGTTCATGCAGCCCATGCTCCACAACAGGGTCAGGGAGGGGACAGGGACCAAGCCAAGCGAAGAGGCGCTGCCGTGGAGGAGCTTCCTGCCCTCTGAGGATGAGGAGGAGGCGCGGACGGACCCTGGGAACGGCCGGAGCTCACCCGCAGGGCCCAGCGGGGAGCGCGCCGGGCCCGCTGCAGCGGCCGCACTGCGCCACAAGGGGGCGACATTGGAGCTCCTGCCGGGACAACCGGGAATGTCCTGATCCCGGGAATGTCCTGATCCCAGGGAATGTCCTGATCCCAGGAATGTCCTGATCCCAGGGAATGTCCTGATCCCGGGAATGTCCTGATCCCAGGGACTGTCCTGATCCCAGGGATTGTCCTGATCCCAGGGAATGTCCTGATCCCAGGGAATGTCCTGATCCCTGGAATGTCCTGGTCCCAGGGATTGTCCTGATCCCGGGGAATGTCCTGATTCCTGGGATTGTCCTGATCCCAGGGACTGTCCTGATCCCCGGGACTGTCCTGATCCCAGGGAATGTCCTGATCCCCGGGAATGTCCTGATCCCTGGGATTGTCCTGATCCCAGAGACTGTCCTGATCCCAGGGAATGTCCTGATCCCGGGAATGTCCTGATCCCGGGAATGTCCTGATCCCAGGGAATGTCCTGATCCCAGGGATTGACTGTATCCCCCTCCCCTTTCCATCTCCAGGATCCCTCTTCCCTCTCCACCTCCGAGAGCTCCCGGGACCCCCTGGGACCCCTCCTTCCCCTCCATAACTGAGGGACCCATGGGACACACTGCTCGCTCACCTCCGCTTCTTCTTCCTGGGATAAACGTGACTCCCAAGCTGAGTGTGGGCACAATTAGAATTTTTTTTGTCCCTCCCCCCCAAAATACACAGTTGATGGGAAGAGACCAGAGTTATTCCTGGTCCTTGAGATCAAAGAATGGCCTGGGTTGGAAGGGATTTTAAATCTCATCTCATCCCACCCCAGCCATGGGCAGGGACACCTCCCACTACACCAAACTCTGTCCAGCCTGGCCTTGGGCACTGCCAGGGATCCAGGGGCAGCCCCAGCTGCTCTGGGCACCCTGTGCCAGGCACTGCCCACCCTGCCAGGGAACAATTCCTGCCCAATATCCCATCCAGCCCTGCCCTCTGGCACTGGGAGCCATTCCCTGTGTCCTGTCCCTCCATGCCTTGTCCCCACTCCCTCTCCAGCTCTCCTGGAGCCCCTGGAAGAAACTCTGAGCTCTCCCTGGAGCCTCCTCCATGTAAACACCCCCAGCTCTCATAGGAGAGATGCTCCAACCTTTGGATCATGAGATCCATCATGAGATCTGTGTCCTGTCTGCTGCTCTCTCTCTGAACACCCCAGGGATGGGTTTTTTTTCTGCTGGATTCTTTGTTCACCCACCTCTGGCCTGGGGCAGGGGCCTCACTTCGTTGACGTCGGGCTCGCTGTTGGGCTGGTGCACCTCCACCATGATGAAATGCTGGTTGGCCACGGCCTGGGGGCTGCCCTTGTCCGGGGGAGGGGGCGCGGGGTGCGG